TACACATTGAGTCCTTCATACACCCACGCCCTATCATTCGTTACGAATCATAAAGTTCTCTTTGAATTTTAAACTGAAATTTGGAAATCGAATACAAAAATGTAGAATATTGAACTATGAAGGTGCGCTACTTGCTTCGGCATGTGTTCTTTTTCTATGACGCCCACACCTCATGCGATACAACACAGCGTAAAATATGTGAGTAGATGATTATGGAGACGATACTCAGACGCATACCTATACCCTATACTCTACATTTAGAACCTATGGTGCTACAGGTAGCATTTGGTATGTCACAGATAAAACGTCCAAATACTACTTGAGAAGTTATTCGAATAATATTCAGGTAACTCTTTAAAACTTACACTGAATACATATATTAGGATTAGAAACAGTGCTCACTTAATGCTGACGTTTTGACATTAAATAACTCTAAAGACAATAATGTTGAACCATTAGCTGTTACGCTAAATGCTCATGCTAAATCCAATGCGGCATTCCTAACTCGAATTATTTATTTTTAAAGCTCGAATGCTTTAAAATTCGAAGAAGGTTAAAACTCATAACCGCTCTATCTGTTTTATGCATATGTACCGCTTGGTACACTTGCATACCAAATTTATTGTTACGAACTACTCGAAGTTCGATCGTAGTGTCTTGAATAAGTCACGGCGATGAATAGGACTGGACAAAATAGAAACGAAATTATGATATGAAATGCAGACAACATCATAGAATTGAAACGTACAAAAATATTGAACATCAGCATGAAATGAATGTAGAAAAGTCTGTAAACTACAGAACTCAGTAACAAAAATTCATCAATTACTTTTCTTAAAAAGAACTATCTCATTGGCATTCATTCCATATCTGTTCTTTTCTAACTTTTCAAGCATAACTGTCCTATCTATATGACTCATAAACGACTTCTCTTTTTGCACTGCCAAAGATCATAATAAGTTACTCACCACTATGGAATTTTTCCAAATCAAGCAGTCTTCAATACTTTAGCCATTTCTTGTCGTCACTTTCAGTTTTTATTGTGTATATGATATCTCTAGCTTTATTTGTCGAATGACTTGTTTGTTACTTTTGGAAGATGACATCATTTTCTCTTTCTTATCTTTTCTGTTTTTTTTTGTCATATTTGTTTATCTTTCAATGACAAACTCTGTTGACAATAGCCACACTAAACACTGAAGCGCCACCCTGAGACTCACCTAAATCTCAACTAATTAATTTTAATGTTATACGAACACAATGTCATATCAAATCACGCCTCTCTAGATATGCTCTAGCAAAGATGCGTACAATATCAAATTTTTATCGACATTTCATCGAATTGAATGTCATAATTGCCTCGAAATTGTGAAATTCTTCAGCCATATAAAACAAAAACAAAAGAGCATGACTTTGATGAACACTTTACTTGTATCGCACGCATCCTTGACAAAACAAGCAAAAGACAAAAGTGAATATTGGCTCAATGTTTCTCTGAGTTTGCTTCTTTTCACTAGAGATCACACTTTGTTAAAAAAAATTCAATTGTATGAATTGAGCAAAGTTCCTTCTCTTTGTTGGTTGACTATCCGATTAACCATATATTAGAGAAATATCATTTTTTTGGGTCATCTCAGAAGTTGTAATGTTCACATTTTAACATACTTGCATCGATAAGTAAGAGAAGATTTCTGCTACCACAACCGGTAACGTGATACTCAAAACAATGCTGAACAATAAGGGATTGACATATATGAGATGAGTCTCATATTCGATGACTTCAAACAAATTCTTTTTATCAATATTTGCTTTTTTATTGCAAGACTTACATCCCGATTTCAAGATATTTATTCGTAGCTTGAATTCTTGAAGTCGCATTTTATTATTCAATTTGAAAGGCAATACATTTAGACAAGTAGTTAAGGTAAATGATTTTATCAAGCACAGTCTATTCAGTTATCGAATGACTTAACAACCGATAGCATTGTAAAAGAAAAGGGCAATAAACATATTCCATAGTCATATTATCATTTTATGAGTCTTTAAGATGTCAAACGGCAGCTAATTTGTTGATCAACAGTTACAGGCAGAAGATAAAAATTCTTTCTCTTTGTACATGTATACATAATTACTTTTCAGTTGCGAAGTATTCCTGTACAAGAAACTTGTTCTTTCAATTAGACACAACAAAACGAAGCGTAACATAATGCAATATTATTATATAATTCTATTTGTGCTCACTTGTATAGTACAAAGTCAAACAGATCAAATAAATATACTTTCATCTAGAACAAAATCAATCAACGAACACATGTGTGTGATCAATTGTTCGTTTACAATATCATTTAAAGACGAATGGAATATACCATCGACTTGTAATCGAGTGAAAACAAATGTAACATGTGCAATTTTGATTACAATGGATTTTACTCGACGTCAAATCGATATTTTACTTACTGGCGATATTAAACTTGATGTCGATGAAAATTTTAATAGTATTATCATACAAACATTACAATTTCGATTTATTACCAAATCGATTCGACATTTTGTCGAGTATTTGTGTGCTGCCGGAGATGATTGCGATTGGTTATTTGCAAAACAAAAAGTTCCTCCTCTATTAAACATCGATTATAAACCACTTTATAAAGCCATAGAACCATTGTTGTACGAATCAACACCAAGTACAGATGTTGCGGCATGCTATCAAAATGATACACTCATTGATTGTCTGGGAGGCATGTGCTCATATTTACCATTTGATACATCTGGTACACCATCGATCAGTCGTTCTTGTTTGAGATATAATCAGTCTGAACTTGGTATCATTATTGAACGACGACGAATCGATCCAGGTCCATCGATACACAATTTGGACGTGTTCGAATTTCGATGCAATAAAGATCAATGCAACGGACCGAAAAATGAAGGTGATCTTGAACATGTAGTTCAATCGAATAATGATTGGATAATTCAAACTGACAACGGTTCTTCATCTTTACAAATAGCCAATAACTATGTAATACTATTTTTTGTATTTTTAATTAGCTGCAAACATGTCGAATAGAATTTTATTTCAACTAATCGATTTATTTTATGGAATTTCATTCATTGTTTTTTTACTTTAATGACTCTCTTATAGTTGGCTAATGAGCAGAATTACAATATAGTTTTTCGGCGGAATCTATCGGTTTTTCAAATATGTTCTCAAAACGAGTAAAACGCTTGTTCATTCAAATCATCAAATGTATAGAATAAATTTGGTGTATTGAAATATTTGAAACATTGAAGAAGAATTTCGTTGAGTAAGAATTGAAGTTTCATGGTGACTTTCTCGTTGGTCACAACAGACACCGTCTCGCAGTATGTTGAGTGCAAAGAAAGAATTGAATAATGTGATATGTTCTTGATTCAATAGAAGAAAAAAAATGACTATATCTTGTATGAAAGATTTTCGTGCCTTTAAAAGTCTGTCTGCTCTTGTTCAACATATTCGAAATGTCTGGTTTTTGATGGACAATTGTTGGTGGTCTATATACGATGTGCAAATAATTGATTACAGATAAGTTCTACGAGCCTGATCAAGTTGAAGATATAAATAGTGCTGACAGTCTACAAAGAGCCATTCGAAACAAGATAATTCTTCTTCAGAGAAAAGAAAATGTCGAAGTCAAACTACAACTCACGATTATTTGTTGTTTTGGTTACTGTACAGACTTATAAACGTTTCAGACAGAGAAAGAGAAACATAGAAACTTTTTAAACGTGGAGTGCCGAATGTAGCTATGAAACAAAAAGTTGTATTCTAATATATATTTATACATATTCTTCAAAATCAAAGAAATAAACCACAAAAGTTAGTTCATGGTATCAACGAAAGAGTCGTTTTTTGATCAAAAATCGAAATGAACAACATTTTAAAATGTATCATCCTCTAGATGATACTTAGGGCTAACCAAAAGTTCTAAGCCCTGTGTTTGAAGGACCTTGTCGGATAAGGTAATCTATTCAGGAATGAGAAACCAAGTATACCATATTGTAGAGCATTTTCAGGCGCATGGAATGGTATATAATAAATCCTGTTTTCATAAAACTTTGAAGGAATTCGAGCGAATTTACGGATGG